TTTTCTTCTACGATGTGGCTGTTATCCTATTAGGCATCCCTTAAAATCTAGACCCATGGCCACCCACCCTATAAAGCCATCCTATCTCCATGTGTTGAGTTACTTAGTCCTTCCCCTTGATGTTGCACACACCACTACTGAATATTTATCACATTCCCATATTAACACAAATTAGAATTTCTGTTTCAACCTCTATCTCTGGCATTAGAAGTTTAAATTTTATTTATTTCATATTTTTACTTTCTGTAGAGGCTCTAATATGCTTGATACATATTAGCTGTTCAACATTTTTGTTCTTATTTTCACTTGAATATATGACTCATGGTTGGAATTGAACCAGCAAACTCTGCCTTTGGTAGTGTGTTTTGCTGACATCTTTCCAAATAATATCCTCAGCTATTTATCTCTCATTTAGGCATGCTACTGACTCCATATCCTCCCTCCACTTCAAGATCTCTCTGTCTTGGGATCTGTTTTCCAGTCTAAACTTTACTGATACATGAAAATAGAAATTTCACCTAACTCTTGGGAAATAGTTGTGGGACTAAAATGGTACAATGTTTTATTTAATACATGGCTGGTGCATGGTAAGTCCTCCAATATGAACTATCTGATATTATGCACAGAATAAACAGTTAACCATATTTGTACTATAAGCAATGATTGGATTAATATATAATTTTGAATTAGATAAGGCATGGCCTTAAAAAAGTGCTTTGTGGATAATATTCATAGCTCCCAACCACTCTAAGAAAAATTCAATCCAAATGTCTACTCTGACTTTCTCAATAGCCCTAAAACCATCCAACCTCCACCTTGTCAGGGGAGGAAGATCAGGGACTCAGCTTTTGATGAACTATTTTCATTATGTTTCTGTGTACTCTTCCCTTGAGAATGTTGGAGGTGACCCCTTCTTCTGTTAAACCACAGCAATTACAACATCAACCCATTGGTCTGTTGTGCTTCCTATGGTGGCACACTGCCTTCACCACTATTAGAAACTCAAGACAACCTCAAACACACACACACATACAAACACACACACACACAATGTTAGCAGCCTATTCATGTATTCATATACAAAAAACAAATTGTTTTTATAGACCCCATTTGAATTCATTATTATCTGAGTATCATAAAAAGAGGAAAAAGAAAACAAAAGTTGAGAAACATAAAAAAAAAACACAAGTCAAACCAACCAGAAAATACTCTGTGAATGAGATTTGCCAAGAAATATTATCTCCATTCTAGAGAAGAGAAAATCATGGTAAGAGAGTTGTTCTCCTAAGGCCATAAAACCTGCCAGTGACAGAGATGGCACTGGGTGCAATACTCCCATCCCATTTGTTTTGCTTTGCTATGAATCCAAGAAAAGTGCTAGCCCTGGAGCAAGCTGACAGCAGAGATGAATAAAATGCACACGGGATCCAAAAGTCAGGAATGGCAATCTCATGCAACTGAACTTGATGAGCCTTGGGGACCCAGCACCTCTGGAAGCTCACTAGATTATGCACAGTCACTCTGTAGGTTCCCTTTAACATCCCTTCCTCTATGGTTTCTCCTGAGTTTTTCTCAAACCCACACAGTCATCATTTATTTTTGTAAATTTTCCTTCTTTCATGTATTAAAACATATTCTCCAAACTTATTCTGGAAAGAATTTGGAAATGCCAATCCCACAGAAGTGATAACCTCAAGTGAATTTACATTTGAACAAAGAACAATGATGATGGGATTTCAGCCATAGCAACTGGCTATAGAAGAACATCTTAGAACAAGAAAGCTATCTACAACAATCCATCAAATCATACCTCATCATCTTCGCTTTTCCTGCCATATGTGATTCTTGGGGCATGAATAGACATGGAGACCCATGTAACATATGTGTAAACATTTAATTTTTATATATATCAAGGTATTAAAATATTAAATCATATTTGATCTTTCTGATTTGAAAAATGTATCTTCATTAACAACCTGAAAGAACACATTTGACTTTAGAATTATTTCACTTTGCAGTGTTCTAAGCTAGAAACAAGGCAGTTAGGGGAGAACCTGGATATCAAATTTCATCTACACCTGTTCTATACAGGTTGCTTTTGGCCATCCTTGGTCCTAGGGATTAGTATAATGGTTACTTCCCCAGAGGAAAGACTTAGTGAAGAGGCTTGCATGGTCCTTAGAAGTGAGCCTAGAATTGTTTTGGCTGAAAATTCCAAGATCCCAAATACCTGAGCATGGTCCAGAAGAGGAATTTAGGCTCCAGTTGAACATATCTGCACAGCTTCATGGATACCTCCCACTGTGCAGAGGCGCATGCCAGACAAGGGTTGAAAGGTGTTCTCTAAAGTTGGGGTTCAGGGCCATGTCTCCTCTTGCCTGAGTCTAATTTTATTGCACATCAACATCTGTTGGAATATCTGTGTTGACAGCAAAGATGATGCAAGTTTTAGGAAAGAGAGATATCATGAATATTTGAGAGTTTAAAAGGCTACATTATTCCAAACTCGAAAGAAATATTGATGTGATAAGAAGTCACTTCCATCCACCAAGCCTAAATCTTGCTTGTTTTAGAGAGTGAGATCAAAAAAGTTGGGGAAGAATTTGAGATTCTCTCAAAGACTCTCTACTAGGCAATTTAGAAACAACATTGACTGCCGAAGAGGGAGAAAAACATGTTAGCAGACTTCAGGGAAGGTGGCACTTCTATAACAGATGGGCAGACTGAACTTTTTTTTAAATGACAATTTTATGCCTTTGGCAGAAGTTTTCAACGTAATTTAGGGAAAAGGAAAAACAACATAAAGACAATTGATTATGTTCTTTAAGAATGGAGAAAGAACATCAAAAATTAGAGTTGTTAGTAATCCTAGGTTGAAGGCATTAAATATTTGTGAAAATCTTTGAAAAGACTTGCCATAGAAATTGGTGGAAATGAAACTAGGTTTCAAATTCCCTCTGTGTCATGTTGGCTGTCAGATATAAACTTTTCCAATAGGAAAGGGTCAGTAATTAAGTGAAACCAATGTCTTTTGTTAGCCCCCTCACTTCTTTCTCCTCTTTTACTATTTTCACTGCCTGCTGATGGTTTCCCCTTATTCCTAAGTCAACACTTCCCTATCTATCCTTCCAAGAACCTTTCTGAAAGTCAATCTGACTATGTCATCTTGAAGCAATTTCAGCTGCTCCTCATCAGTTGTATTTGAATTTCACACTCCTCAAAGCAACTCATAAAATGACTCCCAGGATCTGGCCTTGATGGACTCTCCTACCTTCATTTCCTACCTCCTCCTAAATAATCCACTGAAAAATGTCTCCCACTATGACATGCTTTTCGAAGCCTCTGTGCCTCTGCATATTCTAATCCTTCTACCTGAATTACTTTTTCCTGCCATACTTGCCCTGGATGAACTTCTATTTAATTCTCACTTAAAAAAAAAATCACCTTCCCTTGAACATTTCACGACTTTCCAAGGGAGAGTTAGTTTTCTCTTTCTCGGATTTTTCCCACACTTTGATCACATCTGCAATAGGGCAGATACTTTCCATGTAGGTCTGGTGACTTACCCTCAACATTTTCCCCTACCTGAAACCTCTAATTTCCTTTCACATTCAAAGGACTGCTAAAGTTACATGAATCTAACGATACCAAAACAATATTTAGCAGAAGTAAGAGTCGTTTGTATCTTGTATCCCTTTTTAAGACTGAGGAATGACTGCATATACATATGTGTGTGTGTGTATATGGATGTATAGGTATATTTTCTTTTTTCTTTCTCCTCCAGAAGTTCCCCAACAGAGCTGCCTTTTAGGTCACATGTTCACCTTTAAACAAATCACTGGTAAGCGTATTGGAATCACCACACTTGCTTTAAGAACTTAGAATATTGTTATTTTCCCAGAGGGACAGGTAGCTGAATGAAAGTGTAATTTCCTTTGAAAAAGTAGGATAGAAAAAAAGTATTGTGATTGGTGACCAACAGTGTTTGCTCCAGAAGTGAAGTGGGTTCACTCAAATAGGGTACACTAGGCTTCCTGATTAACTTGTTTTCCAAGATGTGGTCTGTTCTCTGAAACATTGTGTTTTTTTCCCTGTAATGACACTTAAATCTTGAGACCATGGTTTGAAGTTGTTAGATTGAATCTCTCATGATTATTCTTAACACATAACTCTCAATATCTTTGCTTCCTGCCTCTGTAGTGTTAAAAGGCAAAAGAAAGTTGATTCCAAGGATGATTCTACCCAGAGAAAGGATATGACACATGTTTCATTAAGTTGGAAACTAGAACTACATGCTAGCAATCTCAAAACTTCTTAAATTTAGAAAAACAAATGAACAAAGGTGCTGTAATGCTATGCAGAAATCTTGGGGTGAATTTTGGTACCAGGTGAATTCAGGACTTAGGGGATCTCTGTTCAGGTTCTTGTATAACCATGATCAATGATAAAAATTTATAGCAGTCTACCATCACGTTACACAGGCTAGACTAGAAAGGCTTTGAACTCTTAACAACCAGGGGTTTGTCTCATACCATTATACTAAGAGTCCTGGCCAACTGGGGTTCTGAATGAAAGCCTACAACTATAAAATATGCCTTGGAGAAAACAATAATAATAATAAAACAGCAAAAAGTGTCATAATGTGCCACAGAAAAGAGGGCTGTAGCTTTCATCTATGCCCAGTTATTATTGCTATTGTTCATGTGCTTGCATGTGTTCTAATTATTCCCTCTTTACTGCACTGCAGTGGTAGCTCAATTTACTATGTAGTCCATAGCTTATACATGATCTGGTAACATCTGGGTGGGATTATGATGGAATTAGAGGAGAAATACGCAACATATGGAGACTGTGGGTTCCAAGACAAACAGCATTTAAAGGAGCCTGTGATATTCTCTATGGATATTGTAACCAGAAATAGCTTTGAATTGCCTCTCTATTGGAAGGCAATAATTATATTTAGGTTTATTCTCATTGATCATTTTAGACAGGAGCATTCTTGAAACTATATATGTAGAAAGATGGCAGCCAATGACACAAAGGAGAGAGTATCTACATTACCACGCAAGAAAGGATTGGTAAGCTAGACAGCTGGGAGAGCTGGACAGCTCTGAAAGCCGGACAGCAGTTGCAAACTGGGGCTGTTTTAGGCAAATTAGCATCTACAGTTAGCCTAGCTATACCCAACATCTCTTTCCTTATAAACCGTCCCTATACACAGACCAATACTTATGAAATAAGTGATGAAGTATTCTGCAGGCAGAAATGGCCACCGATTGTATCAGGATCAGATGCCTTTGCGATCGGAAGGTTAACAGGGCCAGATTTCCTGTGATGAATAATAGTATATTCAGTCATAAATGACTCTACTCAGTAGGGTTAGTCATAATTAAATAGGCCAATCAGACCAGCTTTTTCTGTATTTTGAACTAGAAATATGGGGAATTTTGAACAGGCAGGAAATGGGCAAAAATACAAATGAATGTCCAATGAAAAAATTCCTTTGCTCACCTCAAAGGAGATGGAAATTATATTTGGAAATAAGATAATAAATAGGTTAATGGCAACTTCACTTATGTGTCCTTCCTGGTACATAAAAACAAAAAAATACAAAACAGTGAGTTTATATTTTGATGGGACCAAATCAAAAAATATTTTGCAAACAGCCCCCTGAACAAAAATGGTGACATTATAAAATAGCTACATTAAATTGGGTATATAAAAATGCTCTGAGTCATATTTTATTCTATAGTTTAGCAAGAAACTGCTTAAGATAAGTAATTGAATTCAGGACAAAATAAAAAATATTGATGAGATACTAACCCTACATTTAGAAGATACATATATTTATGTATATCTGTTTCTTATGTTTATGTACATATTTATACATTTTTATTTGGCAAGTAGCTATGAAGAGAAAATTACTGGCTTTCATAGCATGCTGCCATGTTTCAGGGAATATTCAAACAGAAATTATGTCTTCTGACCTCTTTTCTTAAGGCTGTTTGGAAAGAGATTACACACATCACAAAGAAAGAAAAATTCAACGCAAACCTAGGCCAGTGCATGGATCTGACGTCACCAAATTATATAATCACAGAATCTCAGATTTGGAAGGAAATTTAGAGATATGTTTATAATGAATAATTGGATAAGTGAATGAAAGAAATAATGAATCTGATAAAAACCCTACTGAATGCATACATACTATTATTGCCTTGAATTGTTATTTAACTTTTCCCATGTATATTAACACATATGTACGGTCTTTGTATTGGGTCTTGTGTATGGAAAGTAGTTAAGAATACCTCAGGAAATCTTTATAGAATTTACGCTGTCCAGGAGACATCTGCCAAATAGAAAAAAAAAAATGTGTTTATTTTGTTTTCATCAATCAATCAGTATAGATGTGTTGAATGTTCAGTGAGTAATAAAAGTGCAAGATCATATAGGATAAAATGTATACTCAAGAATAAACACTAAGCATATTCAAAAACTAATTTGTAAATTTAGAAAAAAATAATCTATATTATAAACGTCTTTTAGAGAATTGCAGTGTCTTACGGATTGCTATGTTTGCTGTTGATAAGATCCTCTTAGTATGAATAAAGAATTGTATAATATTTTCATAAAATAAAATGTGTCTTTCTAATTTCACTTACTTCATCTTCTTTTAAATATTTAGTTTCCCAAAATAGTCTATAAAGGTTATGAACTAAAATAAAATCTTAAGCTTCCCCCCACCAACTGACTGAATGGAGCCCCTCCTGGCCAAGCAGATATACTTAAACAGAGTATGTAGCCATGAGAAGGGAGGTAAGACATGCCTCATTATGCCCCTTTCCCTTCTTGGAGATATACTTCATAACCCATTAACAGGCCTAAGGCTATGCAAGACAAACTTATAGGCCTTAATTTACATAAGAAATCACTTAGTCTGGGTATATGGCCATGGCTTGTCTCTGATTAACAGACTTCCTTATCTTAAAACATTTCCAGCCTTCAGACAAAGCTTCATTTCTTTAACCAATTACAAATCAAAGAGTCTTTAAACCTATCAATAACCTGTAAGTCCTGCCCCCCTTCACCCCCCCGCCCTCAGCTTTGAGATGTTCCACCTTTTTAGGCCAACCAATGTAAGCCTTTCATATATTGATTTATGACTTTACTTGTAATTTCAGTCTCCCTGAAATGTATACCAAACTGTAAACCAACCTCAGTGAGTCCACTTGCTCAAGGCTTCTTGAGCACGGCTCTGGAGCATGGTCCTCAAATTTGGCCCAGAATAAACCTCTTTAAATTATTTTACAGAGTTTGGCTTCTTTTCCATTGTCAAGGTGGATAGAGTTGAAAAATTGCTTATTTATCATACCCTCTTTCATCATTCCATGTCACTTTTTTTAAAAGTCCCTCTGACTCCATTTTCTTCAGCTCCATCTGAAAGGTAGGCATTGCTTAATATTTTCTTACCTGTGCTGGTAGACCTGAACTCTCCGAGGTCAAACTTTTCTTTTTCTTCTCCCGTGTTCTCTGGGCCCACCACAAGGTGGCCCCCACACAGGAGTGATTGAATACATTTTAATAAAATGTGGGAAGAGCTGTGTTTCTAGTCTTCATCTCCCTCTTAAACTGCAGATTTGCTGTTCCATGGATCAATGCTCAGAATGGATATCTTCAGGCTTCTCAGGATTTCCAAAGTACAGATAAACAAACAAACAAACAAAAATGAATCATCTCCTACTCAAAATAAATCCAAACATCTTCCATCACTGCAAGTATAACTTATTCTCCGAGTGTTGATAGTTTCTGACTAGAGACCCAGCATGTCAGAGTAAAATCACGCAAATAAAACTCCCAGTGAACCTATCTGAACACCACAGAATTTCCTAAGAGGCGACCCAACACAATGAGCATTCCTTTGAGAGTCAATGTATTTAGATGGTCTAACTTGGCTGATTCCAGCTCTTCCTTCCATTGTATAATAGGTTTATGGAATTTGTTATCTTGCAAATTTTTTTTCTCTCTCTCTCTTTCTCTCATTCTCTCTCTGTCTCATCAGAATTTGTTACTATGTAGTACAGTGTTCATTGGCCTGTGATTAGGAGTTATTAAAAAATGGCTTAGAGAGTTCATTTCAGGCAAGAAAGCATGCACTATTTTTCTGATATGGCACAGGACATCAGAAAATAGTCTTGAACAGAACTTTGAAATGTTTGGCCCAAAGAAAACAAACACCCCCAGAAACAAATAAGATGTGTCACAGTAACTCATGATTTACAATCCCTTTCAGGACAGCCTGTTGCCCTTAGCAATCCCTAAAGCAAAAACAAACAAAACAAATCCTTTCAGCATATCTTCATGAAACTGTCTGGGATGTGACAAAACTTTGAGAAACAGTTTTGTGATAATGGTTTTGCACTTTATTGGTACTTCTCCAGAGGAGGTGGTGAATGGCTGCTTTCAAATACATAGAGCTATCAAAGGCTAAAGTCAATAAAAATCTCTGTAGAATAATTGGGGAGGGAAGTAAAAGAAAAAAAAAAAGAACATAAAAGGAATGAAAAGGAAAGCAGGACCTATAAATATAAAAGCCTAAGGAGTATATTTTGGGGGAACAGATGATGCAAAACAAAATTGGGAATAGTTATTGGAGGACCAAGGAAGGCAAATAAAACAATAAGATATATGATGCCTGTCCTCTTGCCTCAAGTCTAGCTCATCAGACAGTTTTTCATTCCATTTTGTATATACGAGTTTCATCTGACTACTGTCAACAGAAAGTGCTTGGATTTTCTGACTTTTTTTTTCACTGTCAAAAGAAATAATAGCCTGATGAGATTCAAAGGCAACTAATACAACATCTTTTTCAAGAACAAGAAAAATACAAATTGAATTATGTTAATGAATAAAGTATTTTTATTTTTTATGTCTTGAAAATAATAATAACATTAATGATAATAAATAATAAGGAACAGTATCATGTATTTTTTTAAAAAAAAACTTGTTTAGAGGTCAGAGGGCTAGAATTTATTGATAAAATTTGTATTTGATTGTACTGGTTAAAATATCATGCCTACTGTTACCAAAAGTTCAATGTTTGTTCTCAAGGCCACATCAGAAGAACTAGAACAAATGGTTTGAGGAGAAGGAAAGAGAAGTTTATTAATTTGCCAGCAAATGGCTCCCATCTCAAAATACCAACATCTTGCTTCTGAGCAGGAGTACAGAGCTTTTAAAGATTCTGATTCATCCCATTTTCAGCTAAAACAATCTCCTGACCTCTGCCTGGGCAATTCCCCTGAGCCATCTTCCATGTCACAAAGAACAAAAGACACTCTCCTGCTCCTCCCCACCACTAGCTTGAGGCAGGGATATAGGTTTTAGTTTTCAAAAAGGCTAAGGAAGTTTTGAAGGGACAGAAAACATTTTTACTCTTTTTTTAGACCATTTTCTCTGTTACAATACCAGCCTGAGCAAAAGTGAGATCTCGTTTCTACTAAAAAAAGAAAAAAAAAAAATAGCCAGCTGTGGTGGTGTGCACCTGTAGTCCCAGCTATTCAGGAGGCTGAGGCAGGAGGATTGCTTGAGCCCAGGAGTTGGATGTCACAGTGAGCTGGATTCTGCCTTTGCACTCTAGCCCAGGTGACAGAGTGAGACTGTCTAAAAAAAGAAAAAAGAAAAAAAAAATCCCAAAAACATCATGTATTGTGATTATGCAATTATAAGAATTTGGAATTAGTCTTCCATCTCTGGAAATACTTAAATGATAATTTAACAAGGGACATCTCAGAGGATCAGACGGGGCTGATGACATGAGCTGACTTGGGCAGTTGCTGACTGGAGGACACAAGAGTCATCTCTGCTCTACAAATGCATAAATAACTGGGAGGCAACTTCTGTTTAGAGAGAATTACTCACAAGAAGTGGGAGGGCAGGTGTTAGCAAATAAGCGAAGTCAAGGAGCCTGTTTATGATTTTCAAAGCAGTTTGGCTTTGAGGCCAGAGGAAGAAGATGCTGGCCAACATGGATATGTAGCCACTCAAGGATCTGGCCAGGACACCAATTTAAAGTGAAACTCTAAAAGCCTAGAATTATTTAAGGATAAAAAGAACCTACACAAATGCCAATGGAAGTGATTCTGACCTCTTTGAGGAATTAGAGAAAACTAATCATGAGCCATAGAAAGTGAATGCATTGGGGATGGGAGGATAGAAACAATTTAATAATCTGGAGAGATCAGGTGAGATGTATATCTGGGAGAAGCATTCTGAAGGAAATTAAAATGAGCGATTTAATCCTTGTGTTCTTTTCTTTGCTCTGGTATCAACCAATTTTGTGACTTTGAACAAGTTCTATAACCTTCTACTATCCATTCTACACATCACGGACATAAAAGGACTGGACTAAATGTTTCCAAAGTACTGCCCTACTCAGAGACTCTATTATTTTCTATTCATGATAGTGTTTGCAATTATATGGTGCTCTACACCTCCAAAATGTATTTATGTGATTGTGTTTGTTCTTTGAAACAGTCCTGTGTGGTAGCTCATATAGAAAACACTATAGCTCATTTTAAAGATAAGAAAATGAAGGCCTAGAAAAGTAAGATGACTTTCTCAAGGTTGCTTAGCTAATTAGTATCAGAGCAAAGACTAGAAACACAGTCCTGCTGTACTTGAAACTGCATCACCTTGTCCCTTTCAGCAAAAATGTTTAAAGCTTCATATAAGAAAAAATATTTTCTTATGTGTATTTTCTTCAATTGCTTTATATCAACAGGGCATAAAACTTCTTGAGAAAAATAGAAATAAAAAGTCAGGATTGCAAAAAGAGAAAGCCTGTATATTTGCATAGTGAAATAAAATTTATATTGAGGATGTATAAGGTCATCTACTAGATGTTGTGGAAGATACAGAGATTTTTTTGGCAACATTTTACCAAAATAGGGTTTCTAGAATCTAATAATAACATCAGACATGTCCAAAGGAAGCCCTGTCATAAAATATGGAATATTATGAATGTTTTAATAGATACAAAAATACGACACCTAGAATCTCAAGAAGGGCGAATCAAGTCTCTTTGGAAAAGTCAGAAAAAAATTGAGAATTTGGTTTCTGAGTTTGGAAATAAAGTGTATCATCTTGATAGTTTTTAAAAATTAGAAACCTGTCAAATTAAGCAATATATGCTATTAAATTTAGAAAACTAAAAACATGTAAAAAGATAAGTAGATCCCTTTGCAGCTCATTGGAAAGTTGTAGCTGCATGGTAGCACAACATATCACCATGTTCACCACTCTTCTTTCCTTCCTTTCTTTTTTTGTTTACCCTTATTCCTTAAGTTCTGCATTCGATGGACCCAAGACAAACTATAACAACCTGTGTTTAATGATCCAGAACATCTCATACAAAAGTATGAGAATAGAAGTATTTCAGTGAAATAAACTGCATTCCACTATAAAACAATCCCAAAGAATTCTAATAATAATATAAAATATTGTGGGTTCACAGAACTAGGTAAATCCATCAACATAATTCTCCCTTAGTGGACAATGTGTAGGGCAGTTTCATCAAAGCCACAGCTGCTTTAGGAATGCATAAATATGTTAACAAACATTTGTAAACCTAGTGGTAAACCAAAATATTACATGAGAAAAAATACATGAAAAGGGTGGCATTTGACACACCAGTTATTCTTATATCAATATGTACATACTTAAATTTTAAAGAAACAATTGAATCAAATGGAAATGCTTGCAATGTAAAAACGCACTGGAATTGATATGTCATTTTGTCATCCAACATGTATTGAAAAGAACAGCAAATTGGGGTTACCACTCTTAGATTCAGATTCCATCTCTAGCAAAACCTAGCCATGTAAGCTAGATGAATCATTTCATTTCTCTGGACCTCAGTCAAATAAGCTAGTTGGAAGAGTCACAATTTGCAAATCATGCACTGCAATGCAAGAGTCCTGAAAGATTCTCTTTGAAAAAAAATAGTTATGAGATGAAATATACTTAAGGAAAATTCATGCATCATCTTCAACTTATGGAATCTCAAGACATAATAGCGTATTAAAGGCTCAGCAAAGACCTGTAGTAAACAAATCTGTTTAATTTCATCATAGCATTTTCCAAACATACAGTATTTTGAAATTTGTTATTACATTAAAGATGAACATCTTACAGACATAGCGTTTTGTGAATCTGTTTTTGGAAATGCAAAGATATCTTTAGATCCCTAAAATTCTAGGATTTTAATGCATAATATAGTCTTACTAAAAGGACTGAACTGAAATTGGAGACCTTGTTTTAATCTCTGCTTATGAATGGTATCATCCCTTACCCAGAGCGAGACAGAGTGAACAAAAATGAGAAAGAAACATCCTGAAACTGAGGACTCAGAAAGGAGGAAACACAAAAATGTGACCTTTTGTTGTGGTAGAAATGAAATAAGTTTTGCTAAATCAAGTGACGTTAAGTATGACAGGGTGTTGTAGATTCACACCTGAAGGAGAATAGCTGGTAAAGAGTCTTTAGGTAATTTGGAACAGAGTTTCTTAACTTCAGCACTATTGGCATTTAAGGTTGTCAGTTATGACCAGATTTCCCCTGGTAAAGCATACCCTTCTGGGAAGGCATCAAGAAATGCCTATCTTTGATGTAGCACAATGGATATTGCAGGTATAACTAGCAAGGACCCCAACTTTGTTCCTCATATATTATAATTTGTTTTTGAGTCTGGTGTGTTAAACTGCTAGGAAATGACTTCATGTTGCATTGAAGGGTTTTGTTCTGACAGAAGCTATTGAGATAGAGTATTCTTAAGTCAGGATTAGTGGCTGTGTTTCCTTCTGGCCATCTAACACTGTAAGGGGCCTGGCTATTGGATGGATTGTGGTTTGAAAATGCTGAAGGCATCTGTGTGAGGAGACATGAGAGGAGATTTCTGCAAGAAGAATGAAAGATTTGATTTCTAATTCACCCATAGTTTATAAAAATCCACCTATGGTGATGAGAAAACAAAGGGAAATTCTTTGCCATTAGACCACATCCTAGTAGATGGATATCTGTATATATGCCAAACAAAGAAAGCAAAAGATAAGGTTCTTGGAAGGGGCCTAAGGAAATTTACTTCCCTTGAATCTTTCACTTCTCTCAGATCCCAATTCTTCAGCCTTTGCTTACAATAATGATATTGTAATAGCAAAAGCTACTATTTACTATACAAGTACATTCCAGGTGTTGTTGCATTTAATCATGATAGAAGTTCCATAGGTTGTTTTTATCACCAATATATAGATGAATAACTGAAGACTCAGAGATAAAGTAACCAGAGCACATATCTGACATATGGCTTAGTCAGGATTTTAACCTAAGCTTGCCTAATTCCAAAACTTTTGCTCAGATCAACTGTACATCCATCATTTAAAAAATAATTATTTTGCATCTTCACACTTGTTATTAATATGTTTTAAATATTCTTACATTGTCAAACTATAATGGTAGATTGCAGGAAATATTTAATTTTTTCAAAGAATGATTTTAGTAAGCACTTGAGTACCTGGTAGATAAATAAATCATGTGACCTGAGGCAGAAAGAATTGAGTCAACACTGGACACAGAGTATGTAAGTTATCCAAGATTATTATTATTATTATTTTTTCTGTTCAGTGAAAACAGGGAGGCCTTTTTAGACCAGGGAGAGATCTGAGGAGTCCCCTGGGAGTCTTAGAAAGAAAGACAACAGGTGTCTTAGTCTGTTTTCTGCTGCTCTAACAGAACACCACAGACTGGGTAATTTACAAAAGATAGGAATGTATTTCTCATAGTACTGGAGGCTAAGAAGTCTAAGATCAAGGCTCTGGAAAGTTCATTGTCTGGTGAAGTTTTCATCCTTCAGAACAGAGGAAGGCTGTGTTCTCACATGGTGGACATCAAAAGGATAATAGCTTGAATGCTGCACAAAGCCTTTTTTTAAAAAAATAAGGATCTTAATTTAATTAATGAGGGAGGAACCTTCATGGCCTAATCATCCCTTAAATCTTTCATCTCTTAATATCGACACATTGGCAATACCTTAATTTTGGAGGGGACACATCCAAACCATAGCAATAAACTTCCAGGTGCTAATGTTCACTGAGAGAAGGTAGTGATATTTCCATAAGAAATTAATTTAGAAAAATAGGAAAGAAGTCAGCTCCTTTTAAGTGTATTGAGAAGATCTATTGCAAACACTGGGCTTGGAAGAATCCATTAATGACCACTGAGTAAACATATTGTGACTATGGGACACAATGGAAAGAAATTATCCAGAGAAAAGGGAGAATTTTGCAGGGGATGGGGTGAGAGGGAACTGAAATTACCTCTAAGAAATAGAAGGCAGCAGTGGAATGAATTGAAATCAAGAGACACAATCTTTGAAGTTCACTTTAGCTCACTTCATCAATCAGTTACTGAGGGCCTCTTCTGTGCCAGGTGAAGGACCAGGTACATGATGATATGAAGTCAGATAAATCTTGATACCTACTCTCAACACAGTCATAGTTTAGTGGGGGAAAAAAGAAGAGGCACATCATTTCACCATAATACGACAAATACTATGACACTGTGGATTAAAAAATTAGCTCTTTTTCTAGCCAGTTTGGCTCATGGATTCCAAAAATGACTCACAATTGCTAGCAAAGTTCTAGAGTAGAAATATGGGATATTATAAAGATGGAGAAAATTCCTAGTCACCATTTTACAGGAAAAAAAGAAAGAATTCTGTAAGAGACTGTAATGCCGTATATTTGAACTCACATTTGGCCTCAACTCTGGTCATCTTCATCTAGTGTTATGCTAAGTTGGTGCAGAAAGAGCTGATTCTATTAAGAGGAGGCAAAACATCTCACAGAGCCTAACATAATTGACTTTTGAGAAAATACTTAGAAGACAGTGAGAAGAAGACCATGGGATTTATTGTGACTATTTTTATACTATCTTCAAACACTAACTATTCTATTGCTAAGTCTTTATTAATTTAGTTTTGCTTTTTACTGTTTGTAGGCAATCATGTGGCTCTTAAAAATTAGGTAGTTATGCTCAACTTTGCAGTTAGCCAAGTGCAGTTAGCTAAAGAACCAATTTGGAAAAAAAAAGAAAATAATGGTGTCAATTGTTTGGCTGATAGTTGGTGTCTTTGTCAGGTGGTGGTATTTAGAAAGGAAAGAAAAGAAAACAAACAAACAGAACAAGGTTGGAAAGGAGGAGATTAAAGAATTGCTGGGGTCAAGGAATAGCAATGGAGGCAAAATTGAGGAAAAGCCCATGTCCTCTACATGGGCATGAAGAAAACACACAATAAATATCTGGAGAAAATTAGAAGGCACAGAGTAGAAGTACTAATAAAATGAGGAAAAGAAGAATTCAAATAGAAAGAGAAGGAGGAGAGATGAAAAGAAAGTAGAAATAAGGAAGAAATGGTATAAGGAAGGAAAAAAGGAGAGAGGGGAAAAAAAGAGGTTTCTAATTAGTTCCATCCTAAAAGTGGAGAAATTGAAGTATAAGGTTGTCTGAGGTCCTTTCCACTCAGTACTGTAAGCAGTGTAAGCTTTGGAGACAAAAAGATCTGGTTTTATTTATAGTTCTGTATCTTCTTACATGATCTTAAGTAGTTCAGCTAAACTTGCTGAGCTTCTGTTTCTTGTCTGTAACATGTGGATTACAATTTTTCAGGTTTGTTTTGAGTACTAGAGAAAAATGTATGCAATGAGTCTACTGCCTTGCTAAGTGCTTAAAAAATGGTAGCTGATTTTATTATTGCTATTTTTCATTGTGACTTAATCGTGTGTTTTATTTTTTTTGTCAGTTAACTTCATATGTCTGTTCTTCTTACTATTACCTTTTATTAGGCAACACATGCTAGGTTATGTTACCATAACAAACAACTTCAAAATCTTGGAGGCTTAAATGACACTCTACTTCCTGTGTATTTTTTTGGTTTTTTTAGTCAGTGAGGTCTCTGCTCTAATTCATCTTTGTTCCTAGACCCAAGTTGATAGATCCTCCATCATTTGGAAGGTCAATGAGTACCATGGTAGCAGGAAAATTGCATATCAGCTCTTAAACATTTCCCTAAGAAGTGACACATCACTGTTGCTCACATTTCTTTGGCTAAAGCAAGATACATGACCACACTCAACTTCAAGGTGACAGGGAAATACAGCTCTGTCATATTTCCAGGAAGACAAAATTATCAAAACTATCAAAAGCATGAGCAACTCTTCTATCTCACCATCCAAGTTTCTTCACTGCTAAAATAGTACATATCTGATAATGTTATGAGCATTACAATGGTAAATGCATATAGAACATTTAGAACAGTGCCTAGCATATGAGGATTGTGCAGTCATTGCTATATCTTCAAATTTATTGTTCTTGGTAATCCTCCTAAGACCTGAGTCATGGTTTGTGCTGCCTTGCTGCCTCATGAGCATTTTGCCTGGTGCTTTGCACAATCTAGTAACTCAATAAATATTTGTTGAATTGAATTGAATAGTGTTCCAGCAGCATGGCTGGGGCCACCCACCAGCTGGCAGACCAAGCACATGTAGGTTTATCAGTTCCATTTCCCCTGCCAAACACCAATGCACTCCACTAAGCATCCCTCAGCTGCGATTCTCTATTTTGGCAACTTAATTGACCTTAATGTAAATGTTCTCAGCCACATAAAACATGTTGTGAAGTGCACAACAGCAGTCGCAGTTGACTGCCAGCTGCCATCACACTATGTGTGTGCAATTTATTTCTCCACAAACCCTCCTGAATATAACAAATAAAAATTCCTTTCTTAGAAACCTCCCAACAGTCAGCACACAGGGTACCAGTGGCACATTTTAATGACTGCTACAAAAAGAAAACAAAAGATATGTCAGACTTTAAAAACAAGAGCCTGCCTTTTAATATAGAGATACTCTTTGATGTGAGCCTAGAAAAGGGTTCCCACCTATCTAGAGACTATCTGGATTGTACTTCTTTGCATAATGAAATATAAGGGCAGTAGAGGAAAAAATTCTGTGTTAGAAAAAAAGGCAACTGAATTCTAGTCTTGTTTCTCCCACCCTTATGCTGAAGAACGCTGAAAACCTCACTTAATTTTTCTGAACATTATTTTAAGCATCTATAAATGGAGAAAATAATGCTTGCATGATGTCTTTCCAAAAGCTAGTGAAGAAAAAAAAACCTGAAAGAATGAGTAATATAAAAATTCTTTGAATAGGTCAAAATTATTATGCAAATATCAGAAAACATTAGTAAAGACATTTTATTTCAGATCTTGGTATCCTATTTGTTTTTTTGTGGGTTTTTTTTTTTTTTCATGTTTGATCACAGTCAATGTTCTTCTATGGAGTTGCCCATATCTTCCCTAATAGTCACATTTAATTAGTAACAAAGTAGAAAAAGAACATCCTGGTCTCAGCCATGTCCTACATAGATGCTCTTCATCCAGGTTTGTGCCCAACCCCAAGATCTTGACAATAATAGTCAGGACCATCTCAATTCATTCAAATTTCTATAATTTGGAATTTATAAAGATGATTTAAAAATTTACTGAAGGAATGAACTGAGAAGATTGTGATCTAGAAGCAGGTTGCACAACACCACTCTTGTGGACAAGATCAAAAGTGGCAAATAGATAGCCACCTTTGGATCCATTGTCTGAGCAAGGGAACTGGAAATCCATGGAGAAGAGGCTGGAGTAAAGTGAAAAAGATAGAAGTGGGACAAGCTGCTCCGCAGGTTCAGAGGTAATTATGGAAGGAGCCCACATGTGGGAAAGGGGCAGAGGAGAAAATCCCAGGCTGCATGCCTCACCTGAGGATACTGCAGTGGGACTGGCATGGCAGGAAGGTCATGTCACAGGTCTCCAGACTGATACAGAGACCTGACTGGAGGCTGTGCAGCTGTGTTGCTTCAGAGAGAAGGATAACCAGCTTGTGAGCCCTAGGTGCTGTGGCTGATGCCATTGTAACATCTCAAACTCAGAATGTTACTTTTTCCCAAGGGTCAGATCTGTGACTGCTGCCTCCCCCTTGCTCCTACCAGGCAGGGAGGGAGTGGAGAATCATGGGACTGATGTATGCCCCAAGGGCAGGTGACTTGCACCCACTCTACCACTGCTACCAGGGGCCCTAGGCAGAGCAGGGGATGATAGGCCCTGCCCACCTGCTACTGTGATTTGGCTGATTCCTCTCAGCTGCACTTCCCATGAGATCTGTGCAAACCAACTCCCATAGCCCTTAGCACTCACTGCTCATTACTGGGGCAGCTGGACCACTGCCACTACTGTTGCCTGAAAGGCCAGGAGTGGGACACAAGATAGTGCAGCTGCTGCCTTTGAATCTGGGTGGACTATACTCTATAAACCCATGCCATCCTGCACAGGTGCCCTGGGTACCATGCCCTGTGTGTGCCCTGTCCTGTGGTCACCCTGGCCTGCATATGAGAGTTTCCTTTCTCACAAACCTGTTTCATCAAACTTAGACACCTGGCCCTATAAGTCTACTCTGTCCTGGAGTCCTGCTTTACCATATGCATGAGCTGAGACTTGCTGGCCTGTTCCACATGAGGGTCCACTCCACCCCATACCCTTTGGGCCAGTGGGGCACTAAGGCCTGAGTACCTGCTATGTCCCACACCATACCCTGCATGGACCTTGCGCGACTCAGTCACCCAGGCCTACACACATGCGTGCCATGCCCAGCTGATCACTTCCATCCTTGCTGAGGCTGGCCTCACCTGTATGTGCACCTGGCACTATGGGCAGGCCCTGTCATAGGAGTCTGGTAACAACCACATGGGAAGAGGGGAGACACAGCAGAGCAGTAGTGTTAAAGGTTTACAGTGCATCCACCCTTCTTCTGCCTGGTCAAGCTTCTGGAATAGGACACAAGCACTCAATCCAGGGATCCATCCCTAACTTCATTAAACAGAGGTACCAGCAGAGGAGAATGAGTATAACATATCTGCTATCACTTTTGAGCTAAGAGGCTCCAGATGAGAAGGAACTGGCATAAAACTCTGCCAACATGTAAAAATAGGCTGTTTCAACATGCCCAAAGTATCACAATGCTCTCTAGCAATGAACTTCAATGAAAAGAAAATCATTGAAATAACAGATATAGAATTCAGATTATGAATGGCAAGTAAAGTGAATAGAATTGAGGAGATGATAGAAAACCATATCAAAGAAACAAAAAAAAAATTCAGGATAGGAATAAAAAATTCTCCAAAGGGATAGATAACATTAGAAAAAAGGTAATAGAACTTAAATAAATGAAAGAATCATTTAGGAAATTTCAAAATACAGAAGAAATCTTTAACAGCAGGCTGTACCAAGCAGAAGAAAGAATTTCAGAAGTTGAAGACAAAGATTTTGAAGTTAATAAAATAACGTGGTAAAAAGAACATAGAAGAATGAATAACCACTGCAAGAAACATAGGATTATGCAAACTGAAGAAATATAAGAATTATAGGTATCCCTATAAGAAGAAAAAGCAATAAGCATGAAAAACCAATTTGAGAAAATAATAGAGAAAAACTTCCCTGGTATCACTAGAGGTTTAGATATCCAGATTCAAGATGGTCATTGAACACATGAAAAAATCATAGCAAATTGGACATCACCAAGACATGTAATCATTAGCCAGACCAAAGTCAAAGTGAAGAAGAAAATTCTACAAGTTGTGAGATGAAACAATAAGTTACTTACAAAGGAACACCCATCAGACTAACAGTAGACCTCTCAGCAATGACTTTTTAAGCCAGAAAGGATTAGGGTCCTATTTTTCATCTTCTTAAACAGAATAATTCTCAGCCAAGAATATTCTATCCTGCAAAACTAAGTTTCATAAATGAAGAAGAAATAAAGTCTTTCCTAGACAAGAAAACACTAAGGAAATTTGTCTTTACTAGAAGTGCCTACAGGAAATGTTTAAAAGTGTGCTATACATAGAAGAGAAAAATTGATACCCACCAGTATAAAAATACCCAAAAGTTAAAGCTCATGATTCCTATAAAATAGTAATGCAAGGGAGAAAACAAAACAAATAGGTATCATTCATCATGATGAACAGAACAGTATCTCACATATCAATACTAACATTGAACATAAACAGTCTTAATGCTCCATTTAAAAACTATAGACTGGCTGAATGGATGAAAAACACACCCCAAGTAACTACTGTCTCTAAGAAACTCATCTAATTAGCAAAGATACTAACAGACTCAAAGTAAGGGGATGGAAAAAATATTTTACAAGAATGGAAACCACAAGTAAGTAACAGCAGCTATTCTCATGTCAGATAAAATAGAGCTTAAATCAACAATTTAAAAAAAAAAGACAAAGATAGTCATTGTATAATGATAAAGGAAGCAATGCAGCAAGAAGATATAACAATCACAAATATATACTCACTCACCTGACACAGGAGCTCTCAGATTCATAAATCAATTGGTACTAGATCTAAGAAAAGAGATAAATGATGACATAATAATTGCTGAGGACTTCAACATTCCCCTGACAGAACTGGACATATCATCAAGGCACAATATTGACATAGAAACACTGGACTTAAATAGGACTCTAAAACAAATTGACCTAACAGACATCTATAACATATTCTTCCCAAAACTGCGGAATGTACATTCTTCTCATTAGTGCATGGGACATTTTCCAATATAGATCATATGTTATTCCAAAAAACAAGTATCAGCAAATTCAGAAAAATCTAAAACAATCCAAGTATCTTCTCAGATCACAGTGGAATAAAACTAGAAATAAACTCCAGAGGAGCTCTCAAATTTCCACAAAGTCATGGAAATTAAACAAGCTGCTACTGAACAATGCTCAAGTCAATTACAAAATTAAGACAGAAATCAAAATATTTTTAGCACTGAATTACAACCATGACACAAGCATCCCAAATACATAGAATGCAGTAAAAGTAATATTAAGAGGGAAGTTCATATCTTTAAATGCTTACATCAAAATGACAAAAAATCACAAATTAACAATGCAATGTCATACCTGAAGGAACTAGAATAAGAACAAACCAAATTCAAAGTTAGCAGAAGAAAAGAAATAACAAGTCTTAGAACATAACTAAATAACATGGAAACAAACCAAAAAAAATTACAAAGGATGAATGAAACAGAAAGTTTCTCTTTGAAAAGGTAAACAAAATATACAGACCTCTAGATAGATTGAAATAAATAGAAATATAAGAGAAAGGACCAAATAAGCTAAGTCAGAAATGAAAAAGGAGACATTACAACTGACACTACGGAAATAATACACAATATCATCTGTGACTACTATGATCTCAAAGTTCCAGAAGGCCACATGTGGTCCCAAGGCTGCAGATTCTCCATCCCTAGGCAAAAAATTATGAGTAAGATTCAAAAAGCAAATATAGCAGTAACAAAAATAAATAAATGTCACTTAATTGAACTAAAAAATTTCTACACAGCAAAGGAAATACTCAACAAAGTAAACAGACAACCCACAGAATGGGAGAAAGTATTTGTAAACTATGCATAAGGCAAACAGTAATATCCAGAATCTACAAAGAACTCAAACAAATCAGCAAGAAACACACAAATAACTTCATCAAAAATTGGGTAAAAGATATGAACAGACTATTCTCAAGAGAAGATAGACAAATGAACAATAAACATGAAGAAAATGTTCAACATCATTAATTATCAGGGAAATGCAAATTCAAATCACAAGATACCAAGTTACCCCTGTCAGAATCTCCATCGATAAAAAGTCAAAATCAATTGACATTGGCGCAATTGCAGTGAACAGGAAACACTTATACACTGTTAGTGGGAATGTAAACTTGTATAGTCACTAAAGAAAACAGTATGGAGAGTCCTCAAAAAACTAAAAGTAGACCTGCCAATTCAATTCAGCAATTCCACTACTGGGTAACTACTAAAAAGAAAATAAGTCATTTTATTAAAAAGACATCTGTACCCAAATGTTTATCACAGCACAATTCACAATAGCAAAGATAGGGACTCAGTCTAAGTGCCCATCAACTGATGAGTGGAGAAACAAATACAGACACACATACACACACACATACACACGTATATATGGAGTATTACTCAGCCATAAAAAGGAATGAAATACTGTCTTTTGCAGCAACTTGTATAAAACTGGAGACCATTATCCTAAGTGAAATACCTCAGGAATGGTAAAACAGACACCACATCTGTTTTTAGCTCTCACTTATAAGTTAGAGCTAAAGGAAAGATATATGGTCATAAAGAGCAGTAATGAATATTGGAAACTAAGCAGTGGGGATGATAGGAGGGGAGTGAGGAATAAAAGTCTACTTATCAATTACTATGTACACTATTCTGGTGATGGGTACACTGAAAGCCCTGACTTCAGCATGATAAAATTTACCCACATAACAGAAAACATTTGTACTCCTTAAATTTTTTTTTTTTTTGAGATTAGCTTTTTTTTTTTTAAATTTTTTTTTATTTTATTTTTATTTTGGTATATTATGGGGGTACAGATTTTAAGGTTTCAATAAATGCCCATTTCCCCCCTCCCCCCAAAAGTCTGAGTCTCCATCATGACCATCCCCCAGATGGTGCACATCTCACTCATTGTGTATGTATATACCCGCCCCCCTCCCCCCTCCCACCTCCCCAATACCCTATTACTGTAGCACCTATGTGTCCACTTAGGTGCTACTCAGTTAATACCAGTTTGCTGGAGAATATATCTGGTGCTTGTTTTTCCATTCTTGGGATACTTCACTTAGTAGTATGGGTTCCAGCTCTAACTAGGAAAATATAAGATGTGCTATATCACCATTGTTTCTTAGAGCTGAATAGTACTCCATGGTATACATATACCACATTTTATTAATCCATTCTTGGATTGATGGGCACTTGGGCTGTTTCCACAGCCTTGCAATTATGAATTGTGCTGCTATAAGCATTCGAGTGCAGGTGTCTTTTTTGTAGAGTGTCACTGGATCATTTGGGTAGATGCCCAGCAATGGGATTGCTGGATCAAATGGTAGATTCATTTGTATCGAATTTACCCACATAACAGAAAACATTTGTACTCCTTAAATTTTTTTACATTAAAACTAACTAGATAAATAAAATAAATAATAAAAAAATTGATTGACAAACACTGAACTCAGGAGCTGAGAACGAAACAGAATGTATGAGGTGTTAAGAAGTGTGTACATCTAAATGCAAAGGCTCTGCAGAGTGATACTGGGGAGGGTACTAGTTATGCTTTACTAAGAACTTTGGGAGAACCTTTAAACCTATAAAAGCTAGAAATAATATTTTCTCTGAGCTAGCCAGGATGCTTTCATTGTTGAGTTTCTGACTCTTTTATTTCGTCTTTCTCATTCCTTTTACCTCAAGCCAGTCTTCACAGCGAAGGTATTCTCCTGTCAGGGTCTTTGCTAGTCTTCACATAAATACCTTATGTGAAGTTATTATTCTTTAAATTGTGATACACTTGTTTGAAGCTCTCACATTTATGTGTGGGTGAATGTTCTATTGAACATATTTATAAGGAAGTATTTTCTCCTGGGCTTTTGCAAAATGCTGGCTACCTGTCTTATTTCTTACGCTGGGATACCTTTTCTCTCTTGACAGGTGCATGATTTAAATTGTACATTAGGGTAATTCAGGTCCTTAAAATGAACGAAAACAAATATTCTCTTGTTGATAGGGTCATTTGCCTACAAGCAGATCAACGGTTTTCTGGTGGCTTTTAGTTACATGGCCAATTTCTATGATCACTTTTCCTGTGGATTCATACAGAAAACATAAACTTCATGTACAAAACAACTACTTAAGGCTTTCTCCCAACACCTGCCCAGCACTAATTAAGACCTTTTAAGCCAAGTCACTAAGTCATGTTGACCATACCCAGGGAAAATGCATGGAGAAAATAGAACACTCAAACAAACAAACAAAAAAGAGTGGGATTGAAAGAGAAATGTAGATAGAGAACAAAGAAAAAGAAAGGAAATGACACATGGGGAGGGTGTGAATATAAAGAGACAACCAGATAAAACCGGCTGCCCCACCATATCCCACCATCGTTATATTGTTATGTTTCCTTCCCAAGTAGCTGGGAAGCAGAAAGGAATTTTACAGGAGGAGGATAGGAGAGTTGAGCAATATTTATTGTTCCATTAAATCACAGCTTCATAGAGGATTTGACTCCTTTGTTAGAACCAATAAGATGTTCCTAAACATTGCATATTAAGCTCTCCTAACATTCATTAAGTTATAACAAGACTAAAAATATGAAATATGTACTACAGTTTAAAATTTAATAATCTGAATTATACTCCATTTTGTTCCCTTCTCTCTCTCTTTTTTTTAATCCTGCTATTTCACTGTCTACACCTATTCATCCAGGTGAAGTGACAATCATTTTTCTCTCATGAAACCATTGAACAGTTTCTTTTTTTAATCAAATTTTAATACTGTACACATTAAAAGAACAAGAGAAATAAATACAGTTTACAATGGTTGCATCATGTATTATTTCCTAAATCTTGCCTATGGGTTAGGCTAGACAGTAAGAATTTTCACTTAAAATTTTGATTTAGGACAATGCACACAATGAAGTGACAGATTAGCAACATCCCTTATTGAGGATACTGTTCATTTTCTACTTTCTTTGGTTCTTCCTCTCTGTGTAATATGGGAAAAAAATAAGAAAGAGAGGAAAGGAGAAAAGAAAAAAGAGTAAAAAGGGAAAAATTGATAAGATACAAAAACATTGATTGAAGACCTACTTTGTTTTAGGCAAGAGGTCCTGTGATTTAAATATATTGTGCATTCAACCATCTAACAATATTTAGAAGAACCACCATTACTGGCATTTGCCAGATGAATAAACAAATGACTTTACACAGGTTAACTGGTAGAAAGTCATATGGCTGGTAAGCAGTAGGTGTCTATTTGATTTCAGACTGTCATTTGTTGATTTATTGACATATTAAAAGCATGAATAATTTGGATTGTGCTCTTTAATGTGGTAGCTGTTAGCTCATATGGCTATTTGAGCTAGCTAAAATTAAATAAAATTAAGAATACAGTCTGACAGTTGCATTAACCACATTTTAAGTGCTCAATTGCCACTTCGGCAAGTGGCTGCAGTAATGAAAAATGGAGATATAGAAGACTCCTATCAGTGCAAAAAATTCCATCAGGCAAAGCTGTTTTAGAATGTAGGCTTTTCATAGGCCAGAAATAATCTATTTCCACTGATTTTTGTGAGGCTCATGACTATACATTTGTTGTGATTTCCCCTTTCTTTTTTTATGAAAATATTTTACTAGACAAAAATGCCAATCAATCTTTGATTATTTTAATGCTAAGGGAAATAGATTTCATAATATTCAGGTCCAAATTCTTGGTAGACCTCTGCAAAGTGATTGGTGAAATTTA